AAAAGCGTCAAAACTGGACATCGCTGCATCTTATTGTATCAGCAGTTCCTCATTCTCTCTATAGAGATACGCCTCATCCAATTGATCTGAATGAAGCAACTGAAATGGTCACTCATTTATGGCATCCATCCAAAGAAGACGTCGAAATGATTGTCACAGGGACGATCAATTTGATTGAATATATGAAGCCTGTAGCAGCAGAAGAAGGAACGAATTTATTAGAGGGTCCCAATAACAATGAGATTGCGACGAAGAACGATAAGATCAGGGATGAACCTCATTGGAAGGATCATCTGGATGTGCGAATGGTCTTTGATCAAAGTCCTCTAACACCACAAACAATTATTGCATCTCCTCATTTGAAAAGTAAGAGGAAGAAATATTCAAACTTCGAACAAAACTGTTTTTTTTTTCAGAATACATCCAAACAGTTCCTGAGAAAGGCATTTATCATCCAGTTCTGGTGGCTTCTGATTTGTGGTTGCTTGAACGCAACTTCATTCCGCTCAATTCAACTTTAGCAAATCAGCCTTTGAATCTGACACTTTCCTTCAACACACTTAATTCATTTTGGTGGATGCTTAATAGCCAATTGATGGAACTATGGGATCCTCAACGAGGGTTGTCAGCTGAAGGACCTGCTAATCCGTTGATGGCATTACAAACAATAAAATCGAAGAGGGAGAGTTTTATGGTCAAGCGGATCATCTTGGATACAAATCCATACGACGTCCCTCGCGTTCTCTGCCGCATTCATGCTTCTTCATTCTTTATTTTCATTCCTTGCGTTTAAAAATGATATTCAATTTTGGAATAAGAATGAGTCCATGCAAGGACTCTCAGCTCTCTCTATCGTCTTCAATTTTTTCTGTGAATTAATTATCGCTCTTTATTTATATGATTCGGAAGAAACATCATTCCTTATCCTTTTTGAAATTTTCCTAGGAGTCGGTAAGTTTCGTCGTCTGGAGGAGATTTGCTGATATGTTTTTATTTTCAGCCATTTCTGGATGGAAAGTCACAAAAGTGATCAATGTGTCATTTAAAAGAAAACCAGGCTCGTGGATTCCAAAAGTTCAATTTGAAGATAAGAAAGATTACAAAGAATCGGACACCAAGCGATACGATGAAGTGGCGATTAAGTTCATGTCCATTGCACTTCTTCCCTGCTGTGTTGGTTTACGCGGTTTATTCCTTGAAGACGAAGAAATATAAGTCCTGGTACTCGTTCGTGATCTCCTCATTAGCCGGAACAGTCCTACACGTTTGGTACGTATTGATTGATATCCGGCAATCACATTTTTGTCATCAGGGTTCATCACGATGACTCCTCAATTGTATATCAACTATAAGCTGAAGTCGGTAGATCATTTGCCTTGGAGAGCCTTTACTTACAAAGCATTAAATACATTTGTCGATGATATTGCGGCGTTTATCATCGACATGCCATTGATGCATCGACTAGCTTGTTTCCGCGACGGTATGCTTGATCAAATAATACTGTCAAATTCCCATGTCCTTCATCTTCCCGTAGATGTCATATTTGTTTGTTATTTGTATCAACGATGGGTTTATTCAGTCGATAAGACCCGACCCAATGAATGGACGGATCCTGCAATCCAAGAAAGACTCTTGAAAGAAAAGGAAGAGGCGGAGAAATCCGAAGAAACAAAATGCCGAAGAAAAAGAAGTGGAAGAAGAAGAAGTGGAAGAAGAAGAAGAGGAAGAAGTGGAAGAAGAAGAAGAAAGTAGCCAGCAGGAAAGCAAGAAAGGAACGTTAGAAATCTGTGGTGGTTCTCTTCAATTCAATTTCAACTCATTTTCCGAGTGTTGTGAACGGATTAACTTTTCGTTTTGCCATCTTCATCCCATAAGTTTCCTCCTGAAATTCACAGCTGTAAGACATCCAGCAGGTTGAACTCACATCCCGAACATGAAAGGGTTTGCTCAGTATAGGACCAGCCGCGAGGATCCCTGATCGTTCCGGCAAGCAACTGGCTGGATTGAGAAGTTCTTCAATTTCTAAAAAATCCTCCTGCAAGAACGCTCGCAGTGTGTTGCACATTTGACCAAACTCACGACAATCCATCGAGATGCTACGGGACACCAAGGCAATAGTCCGGCTGATTGATAGATTGCAGCAGTTATTTGAGCGCTGTTATGAGGCACAAATGAGATAAAACTCTTGAGTAGTCCAATCTTCTCTAAAATATAACATCGCATATCTTCGATATCAAGACCTTCTTTGTGTTTGGGTGGTTGTTCTTCATTGCTGGCAAGAAGCATTTCGATCCTATTGAGTAGTCTCATGGCGTGGGGCGTCAGTTGCGATCTCCATGTCTTTCCTATTGTTTGATTTGTGATACCTTCCTTTTCTATTGTTTGATCTGGGACATCCTCCTTTTCTATTGTTTGATCTGGGGGGACACCTTCCTTTCGGGCAGAACTGTTATCTTTACTGAACGACACCAAGTCCTCATATGATGATCGATACTCCTTGAATAAATTCTAAAAATTTATAAACGAAACAATTATCGAAATATCGAATAACGATTTTGTCTGTTGATCCTACATCAATAGAATTCCTGAGATTTCTATCACTCGCTGTTATCGTATTTCCGTATTTCTGAAGTCAATGTCCCAATAATTGGATGATAATGATGAGAAAACCCACAAAGTCCATATAGCGATCGAAGTCATCCAACAAGGATTGCAACCGAGAAATATTCACTTCAAGTATCTGATGCAAACCCTCGTCGTTGGGACATTGCGGGTCTCAGCATACTTTAATATTTCTGTCTAGATGGATTGCCTTCGCACACCAATCCTTCTGCTGGTCAACTTCATCACGGCGATACAACAGCAAAACGCGAGAAAGCCAGCTGGACCGCCACGACTGGGACTTCTCACTACAATGAAGCTTTGTCAGGGAAATCGTAATGTCTTGATGTCACCTTATCTCATCCAAAGCGCTTGCTACTCGATTTCGGGATTCATCAGAACATTGAAGTCGACGCACTGAAGGAGCGACATGAGAGGGATTGGGACTTGGGATTACCGGTGACAGCAAGAGGGAAGGATGTCGCGATCTTGTCTGCGTACAACTCCGTCTGTCAAACATATGAACTCGAATTTTTAATGATTCCTCTCACTCTTAATCCCCCACGAGAATTCAAATCAACGAGATATTTCTGTTGACCGAATTTTTGCACGACCATAAAGACGTCGTCCCAGAAGGAGCCAGATAACTTCCATGAAACCCACTTCGCTAAAGCGCCTAAGCAAACGTATCGCTACGCTACTCATAAAAAGCCGCTTACGGTAAAAAGGCAGATCTTGTGGCTTGTACGCGAGAAAAATGAGATCACCCGTTTGGAGTGTCTGTTCGATCTGAAAGGGATAAAGATTCTTAGAAAGTGTTCTTCAGAGGCCTTACCATATAATCCGTGGTATAACCCCACCTCTTTCCATAAAAGGGAGTATCTCCTATCGCTCCAATTTAATAAACAACAAACTGACAAACATACCGACAAACTGCCCCCTTGTGAGTTCAAGACGTTTCTTATCAACATAGCGACGGTATTCCCAATAGCAAATGATAGATGCGGGAAATCCCAGCAAAACGCTCCTAATGGTTGATCCATGATTCTCGAAATCAAAAAACACCCACCCGACAGCTCTTGCTGATTCTGATACCATTTTTGAAGATCGCTCCTCTGACAATTTGTAAGATCAATGTTGTGAATTGATTTTTTTAACAACTGCGAACATGTCGTGTGACATCGTTCCCCAAAATAGAAGGTTTATTGGCACACAGGTACCATGATGGATAAAAAAATATCACAATGGAGAATAAGAGGAGGAGGAGTGAAGAGAGAACCCAGAGCAACTGGACTGGTCTCAGCGCTCCGGGTTGGAGTGGGAGCAGCATCAGCATTTGCACCACTCATTGCTCCAAGTTCCGTCAGCGCCGCCTTGACAACAAATCGTGATGCGACGAATGTCGCTGTTCTGTCTCTTGATCTTGAGTTCGATCAATCATCGAAATCCAAGCCAGCTGTTTATCAAGGCGGAATGGTTGACTACGGGCAACAGCAGTTTGGTCAACAGCAACAACATTTTGGTCAACAGAACTATGTTGCACAACAAACGCATTATCTTCCACCGCCCCAGTATCCTCCACCACCCCCAATACATTACGGTCAACCCCCAGATCATGCTGTGAATGTGGCATTTAACTCGCCTCCACCTGAACAAGGTGTTGAAGTCATTGTCAACAAGCAAGCGGCCCCAACAGGTGGTGATGCAACAAGCCCAACAGGTCGCAATGCCGCTGCCGCCGCCGCCGCCGTTGGTTGACGTGAACGTTCAGATCTCGCGTCAAGCGCCTCCACCACCACCGCCTCCTCCCCCCCAAGCGGAGATCCGGTAAGTGTCTTTCGCTCCACGTTCTGTCACTCGTTTTGTTCAGAGTGAATGTTCAAGCGTTGCCTCCACCACCACCTCCACCACCACCTCCACCACCACCACCACCACAGTGAGCAATTAGACCAATTAGCATCGTTGCCATTCTGACTGATTCAGGAATCTCGTTGTTGTGAATGTTGGGCCTCCACCACCACCACCAATGCCAGTGGTTGCTACTAACATCATTCATACAACTTCCTTGGTTTCTCCGATGACTGTTATCGGTAGTCCGTTCGGCGGAGCCAATATCATCAATATGGTGCCTCCGCATCGTATGCATCGCAGACGTCGAAGCATGTCTTGTGGCGATATTTCGAGATGGAGAGGGCGCGGGCGGTGCCATTCTCTTTCAGCGCTAGAGCGAAAGCTCGATCGAGCATTGCAACACAATCATAGCGGCAGTAGTCGAAGAAGTCGAAGTGCCCCAAGTTTCCAATCTCACAATTCAACCGGGAGCGGGAGCGACAGCGCCAGTGCAAGCGCTGCCTCGTTCAGCGGTTCCGCCTCAGCGTAAGGGTTTTTCTTTGTCTTCTATGATTTTCCTTTTCTCAGATCAGCGAGTTCTAGTAGCTCGGGGAGCGCTGGTTCCAGTACCGGCAGCAGCAGCGGCACCAGCAGCAGTGGGAGCTTTGGATCGAGCTCTTCAAGTTATTGAACAAGCGAGATCTTTTTGTACCGTTCCTTGTTTTCTTGTGTCGTGTCCTTTTTCGTTTTTTCGTAAGTGTCGTCTTTTTGGGTTCCATTTGTAAAATGGGAACACCCGTCTGCATGTCTTTGTTTTTTGCTTAAACGTGGTTAAACTTTGAAATGGAAGTTGAGGAAACTCGCAATCGTCTTAAAGGTGTAAGCAACGCATTTTATAAATTGCGGAACAAGTTTCAATCTCACAGGTTTTGGAAGATCCTGAGAAGCTCAGAAAATCAGCCCGGAAAACATTCGAGGTCAGTTCAGCTGCAGTCACTCATTACAACAGCGTTTCTTCATTTTCAGCAATTCGATTCCAAACAATCAGGAACTCTTTGTTTTCAAGACACCAAAGACACCAAAAAGCTTATCCATCGACTCGCCGCCAACCTTAACCTTCCTGAAGTCGACGGTAATGAAATTCTCTCGGTCTAACAAACACTTCCATTTTCAGACACAACGCTCTATGCCATCATTTCTCGATATAGCCAGGATCTCTCGCTGAATGAGGACGCATTCTATCATCTTGTAGGCGCGTTATTTGTGCCTTGATAGAACTCCCGGCTTCCTCAGTATTCCGATCTCCTTGCGCAAACAAAGCAGCAGTATTATGAGGACCGACCCGTTGTTCCCCGACAATCCTTTGTGACCACTCGACATCTCAGAACGGGTGAAACCATCACAAGTAGACTCCAGATGGGCAACAGACTTCTGAACACTTCTCTGTTTTTCAGACCATTTAAAATTTATCGAAAAGCTTGGAAGTGGTTCATTTGGAGAAGCTCATCTGGTCGCTGAAGTCCAGTGAGCATTTCAGATTCTATATATGAATCAATCAATCAATCAATCAATCAACTGTACAAAAGAAAAATCTTCAGCTACGGACTCTCTAATTTCTCTGTCTGCTTCAGATCAGATCTTCAATGTGTTTGTAAAATCATAAATAAATATCAAGCCAAACTCCCGTTGACTCAAATTGCGGTACATGGAGTTGCTTGACACGATTTCGTCAATATTATTTTGTAGGCGGAAATAGAAATTCTAAAACAGTTGGATCATCCAAGTATCATTAAAATTTACGATGTATTTGAAGACCGATCGAATATTTACATCACGATGGAGTGAGTGCTGATCACCTGCAAAATCGCTTCATCAGCCATTTTAAGGCACTGCAAGGGAGGCGAACTGACTTCTCACATCAACGTCATGCACAAGAATGGATCACGTCTTACTGAGAGATATGTGGCGTTATTGATGGCCGATCTTCTCAGCGCAGTTTCTTACATCCATCGGGTCAAAAAAGTTGCACACAAGTTCGTATCACTGAATCATTCTCTAGAATTTTTGTATCTAAACCACTTTGAATGAATTTTCATTTTATCAGAGATCTCAAGCCGGACAATATTCTATTTTGGGATACTGATCAACGTGATATCAAAATCATAGACTTCGGTAAGACTTACGATGATTTTATCGTCAATCTATTTACAACAGGTGTGGCTGAAATGTTTCGTCATATTGACGGGTACAGCAAGAACGCGGCTGGAACGGTAAGCAGCCAATCGAGCGTCGTCTTTATTGCTTCGTTCATCAAGGCGCTTTTTATGGCACCTGAAGTAATTGGTCGTAACTTCGGTGTGAAGTGCGACATTTGGAGCTGCGGCTGTATTCTGTATCTTCTATTGACGGGTATGAGGGTTGTTAATCATGCTAGCTGCATCGATGATTGAACCGAAAGGACAATATTTTTTTTTTCTCGTATCAGCTCGTTATCCATTCATGAGCACCACGTGGCAAGGCATCCGAGAATCGATTTTGAATCGTAAGACGAATCAACATATTGATGCTTTACGTTTTGATCTCAGAGGAGCCCAACTACGAAAAGGACTGTATGAACGTTTCTCCTGAAGCGGTTGCTCTCATTAAAAAGATGTTAAAGAAAAACCCATCAGAGCGTCCATCAGCAGCTGAGGTGAGTGACTTTCTGACGAAATTTTTAACATAGTGCTTTGTCCCGCAGTGCTTGAGTGATCCGTGGGTGTTGAGAGCTCGAGGCAATGATGCGATCTACAAGGCACTTGAGATATCAGTTGAAGCGTCGACAAACCTGGAAGTGAGAAGTTTAGCGAGAGGTCTGACTATTGGGTAACCGCGTTTTATTTGATTCTTGGATGTCGGTGTTCAGCGGTTTATGCGACAACCTCCATTGAAGAACACTCTCGTTAATCTAATGGCGCATCAACTTTCAGTGCGAGGCCCTCAGATCCGTCAAATTATTGCAGATTTCAAGAGATTAGATACAGACAAAAACGGTGTATTATCTCCTGAAGAGTTGAAAGCAGGTAGAGGTGTAGTCTGAAATTGAATTTTATTATCAATTTCAGGATTAAGAAGTTGCGGGTGGAGAGATTCAGATATTCTCAGGGTGCAGCAAGCTCTCGATTTAGAGGGCACTGGAATGATTCAATTCACAGAATTCCTTGCCGCTTGCTACACATGGAGAATGAGTGAAATGAATGTTGTTTGGTCCGCATTCAACAAATTAGACCAAGATAGAGACGGAAGGATAACGAAAGAAGAGTTCGCAACTTTATTTAAATGCGGATCCAAAGAAAGTCCTGGGCTGGACGAATATGAAATTAATTTGTACGTTAAATCTCCATTGGTTCCAATGTGTCTTGTTTCAGAATTATGAGGCAGATCGACCAAAACAATAACGGATATATCAAATGGGTACAAAGCTGGTGTGACTCATTTTATAAAAAAATTCAACATTTTTCAGGAGGAGTTTCTCTGCTACCTGAGAAGGGAAAGATGACATCAGGTCGGGAAATTTCTTTTGTACCCCCAATTTTCTCTTTTTTTGTTGGACTATAAAAAATTATTAAGGACCAGCTTTGCGATGCTTGTGCGATTTTCCGCGTCCTGACTTTTTCGAGGTGGGTTTTGTTTCCTCATTTGGTTCAGTAGCTTCACTTCTTGCGTTTTCATCAAAAGCACGAACGTACAGCCATGATGCTGGTGTTTCCTCTTGAGTAATCATCTCATGGGAAGCCATTCGCTTCTCTGCTTGGAGTGCTTCGTCTACTGTCGCTGGCAGCATGTCCTCTTGGGAGTAGACACGAGGCTGGAAATTGAGGCCAACACCTGCGAGCGTTTGGGAAAGAATTGCTTCGTAATCGTTTCTCGAAAGGCCTAATGCGGTTTTGTCGAGCAGTTGATCGAACTCATCCGAAGGCTCTCCTAACGATTCGTCACGCTCAGGCTTCTTCATTGCTCGAGAAGCGAGCCTCAAACGATACAACTCATAAACTTGCAACACTCCAAGAAACCCTCGTATTCCAAATGGAAGCGCAATTGAAACAAAAATCAGTCTGTACAGATTTTGAGGCATCGGAGTAACACGAATTGGAAACTCCATTTCCCGGCCCGCTAGTGTGACGTATGGACGGGCTGGTGAAGCGACAGGTTTCAAAAAAACCGGGATATAAATTTTTGAAACCAACAGGGATTTTAGTTTCAACCGTTGCTTCTACCATTTTCCCCTGATAATAAATACGTTGCAATCACGAAATCGTACAAGATAAAGAAAATCGCCACTAAAAAAAAAGAAAAATGAGAAATTTCAAACATATAGTCTAACAATTGCGCATTTCTGCAAACCTTACCTCCCGATAAGAAATTCAAAATTGTGGTGGATCCGCTCAGTTTCGTCAGGCTCATTGCAACAAAGACAATTCGAACTAAATCAACGGCACCCAATAGAAAACCAAGTTTGTAATTAAATGAGGCTCCCGTCGAGACGCACCAGATACTCACAAGAACATTGAGCCAGAATAATCGCTCAACTTCAACTTTTGCCTGATAAAGAACAAAACTGCCCATTGGATTCATGTCATCGAACTTTGCGGACGAATCATACATTGTTGCATATCTAACTTGTTATCACATCTCCGAGTATTCAGGGAACGTTAAGCGATTTAGGCACAGGTCCTGGACGAAAAAAAAATTGAGTGATGATGTTGTTGCATCTCCTTCCTCGGGATTCTGGGAATCCCTGGGAAGTCCCAAATTTGTGCTGGGACCAATGGTTGAGCAGAGTGATCTTGCGTTTCGTTTGTTGTCACGTCGCTATGGAGCCGACCTCTGTTACACGCCCATGCTTCATAGCAGGTCAGTTTTTTATTGTTTGTTCGTCGTCGACTCATTCGCGTCATTGCAGACTCTTCGTGGAGCAGCAGGCGTATCGCATAAACAATTTTCAAACGTGTTCTGAAGACGTTCCTGTTATCGTTCAATTCTGCGGCGATGATCCACAATACATCGGAAGCGCTGCCGAAATCATAGCATCTTCGGCTCCTCATGCAAGCGCAATTGACATTAATTTCGGATGCCCACAAGTAATTGTCTGGTTTTGATTGATCATGATGTTCTGTGTCATAGAATATCGCTAAACGAGGACATTACGGATCGTTCTTGCTTCATGAGCCAGATCTGGTTGAGTATGTTGATCATCTTATGAGCCCTCAATTGCGCGTTCTTTTTTGTTTTTCAGATCTATTGTGCAAAATGTTGTGAAGAAATCTCCAATTCCAGTGACTTGCAAAATGAGAAAAGTGGACAAGAATGATCTCCAGTCCACATTGAATTTAGCAAAAAGACTAGAAGCTGCTGGATGTTCAGCACTCTGTCTGCACGGAAGGACGAAGGTGAAACAAAAAAATAATCGAAAACAATCGAACGTGCTGTTTGTTAGGAAGAAAAAGGTCAAAGTTGTAAAGAGGCTGATTGGGACGCCATCGCTCGTATGAAGGAAGCTTTAGGAATTCCAGTCATCGCTAATGGAGGAATTCAGACGAAAGAAGATGCGTTGAGATGTTTGGAAGCAACGAGGTTAGCAATTAAAACTTAGCGACTATTTTTTTATTATTTCTAATCAGAGCTGATGCTGTGATGTCCGCCGAAGCAATTTTGGAATATCCTGCTTTATTTAGCGGTTTGTCCTGTACGCGTTGTGAGGATTGTACGGTTGCTGTTTCAGATATTGCTGTTGATATCGATCAATTAATGGCGGAGTATTTGGAGCTGGCTACAGTTCACAAAACCAGTCCCTCAATCGTTAAAGCTCATTTGTTTCATTCGCTCTACTCTGGGCTTCAGCGACACACAGATCTGCGTGCGACGTTAGGAATGGTAGGAATGAATGTTTTCATCGTGCAAAATATCGATGCATCACAACTTTCAGAGCAAATCACTTGAAGAATGCAAATCTGTCGCAGAGGAATTGCAGAGTCGAAGGAAGACTTTGAAACATCAAGACAAATTTGGGTGGTATCAAAGATACAGAAACCCAGTTGCATACAAACTGTCTTCGAACCCGCTGTTAGATGATTTTTCTCCTCCCTGTAAAAAAATGAGAACCGCAAGCCCCGCTGGTGTAGCGGTTTGAACCTATTTTATTCGAACTGTGACAACTTGGTAGTACTGGATATGGATGGTGCAATTGTTTGCTTTAAAGGTTGGCACCCAATACTGTGTATGTCCTATTGACCCTTTCTTCTTGTAGGCGACTACGACTTTCTGAGTGAGCGCAGTTGGAGCAGGTTTGGTGCTTATTTCTGTTTGCAGGCAATTTTTTCTATTCCCCCTGTGTTTTCGAGGGAATTTCATTCCCCACCGTTGAACAGTCAGTCTGTATTCGGTTGCGTTTTCATTGTTCCTTCTAGTGCATTTCAGGGTGCAAAAGTCTTCGACTATGCGGAAAGGCTTCAAATAGCAGCAGCGAACAGTCCGGCAGAAGCGAGGCGGTTGGGGCGACGAGTGCAATTGCGTGAGGATTGGGAAGAGTAAGCGGAGATCAATGAATATTTCGCATGGATTTAATACAGCGTGAAGGAAAGCGTTATGGCGGAGTGCCTGGCTTCCAAATTCGAAGACCCGGAGCTGCGAAGGCGCTTGTGAGTGGATAGGGTACGCCGAAGACTGTTACTTTCGGTTCTTCAGGCTCGAGACGGCGCCACGCAAGCTTGTGGAAGGAAACACGTGGAATGACAAGTAAAATGCATGATGCTTTGTTCTGTACAACGTCTTCAATGAATCAGATATTGGGGTCAAGTTAATGGAGTTGGGAAAAACAGATTAGGGATTTTGTTGATGCAGTTGAGAACTTTGCTAACAGCTGGTAACATGACGCCGTTCAAATGCAAACATGAATTTGCGTTGAATTCAGAAAAAGAAATGGCTGCCGTCACTAGTGAAGAGGCGCAAACATTGAATGAACAATTATTGTTTGAAGAAAAGGATGAAGATTTATTCAATTTGGACGAAACATGGTCTCTAGGTGAGAGAGAAGAGAACTTCCTGAGATGTCAAATTTTATCCCTCGCAGCACATTGTGTCAGCGTAGATTTGAGAATGGGTGCTGGTAAGCTCTTTGTTTTACTAATTGTGATTTTATTCGTTTTCAGGAATCGCTGTAGCATTTAGAAATAAGTTTGGGGTAAAATTTGATCAGAACGACAAATAAACTCCAATTTTTTCAGAGATTGCACGAGCTTCGTAATCAAAATGTGGACGTTGGCGGGGTCGCTGTTCTCCAAGATGAGACGCGTTCGATTTTTTATTTAGTTACAAAGCCGCGATACTCGGATAAGCCAACCCTGGAAACACTTAGACGGTCACTAGAGTCCATGAGAGAAATTATTCAAAAGCAGATTGCAGGTAATGGCGCCAAAACTTATCAAATCATGAAAATATTCGGTGCAGATGTGTCAAAGCCGTACAAGCTCGGAATGCCTCAAATAGCGTGTGGCTTAGACGGGCTTCGATGGGAAGATGTGCGGCACCTCCTGAAGGAGGGTAAGGAAAATAAGTCACGACGATTGCCTTATCTTTGTTTCTAGTTTTTGGTCAAGATCCCATGCATATTATGGTTTGCATTCCTTCAAATTTGCAGAAGGGATCATTCAAAAAAGCTCCGGTTTTCCGTCCCCAGAATGTTAAGCGTTTCAGATAGCGTTGTGATCAGTGTTTGCGTGATTGATTCTGGATTTGGTATATTTAAGCTTAACTAAAAATAGGAAAATCATATTGTTTGATCTTCAAGATCAAGAAATCTCTAGCTAATTGTTTTGATCATCGGAAGAAATTAAAACCGATGATGCTGATGGGTAACGCTGAATGCATCCTCCA